ATCTACGAGGCAATTAGAGGATCCGGATTAGCCCGAGTCGGATCAGCTGATCGAAAGAGAGGGGGTCGGGGTGAATAACAAGTGTTATGAGGCGACACTAGATTTTCCACATAAGAGCACATTTGGTAGGCCAGGACAGAAAGAGGAGTGATAGTGAAACCGTTTTCGGTAGAACGTTTTTCAAGTCATTGGCTTCACTTGTCTCTTTGACGAGTTCGTAGCCTGGTGCCGAGAATGGCAGCACTCACTGATGATGTGGGTGAAACGTTTGAGAATGTACCAAATCCACTGCCTGATGCTGGGAATCATGACAACTAATATGGCAGATGACTTGGGACTAAGTGCGTTCTACTAAGTCACCCTAACAACAAGAACAGATTGCCACAACGAAGTCAACCCACTTCTCTTAATCTTATTAACTACAGATGATATATAATTGTCTACTAATTCTAATGGGTAATTGTTTTAAAACATTATATCAACCAATCTATCAACCTCCTGGTCCGTATGATTTGCATCTGCTCAACGCAAACGACTTATTAGCATAGGCTATTTGACTCACTTTTACTTTATATGTATGGTTCGAGAAAAAAACCCAGTTGAGTGGTTTTCCTATATACGTCTCCACCTAACCTATTCCCTTCGTTACGCACAAGACACAAGCAATTTACTGTATCATGCTATAATGTTGACACATGTTTGCATTTGTGCTATTGTCTATTGTGTTTATGTAATGCTCATGTCATGAGAAGTGATATATTATCCCAGCCAGACTCGAGGTCATTCCAGCCTCCTTGCCTTGTTCATTGGTGCTTCATGAATTGCCTCTCTTTATCTCTCCTTTGGCCTGACCAACAGCAACAAAAAGTTCCTACTCAGATTTGTATACTCGATTTTCGTATACGGACGTACAGATTAACTAAGTTTACCACAGTTTCATCGGAGTTGCAAGACAGTGGGCCGAGGACTTTGCATATTTCAATAGTCTTCCCAACGCGGCAATCCTCCTTTGCTTTCCGATGGGGCTACTTCCCTCTTTGAAGTGGAAAGTCATGTCACAATAAATCACTTAGGTATTCTTCGAAGCCAAATTCCTAATTATTTCTCCAGAGAGATGCTAGACCATTGAAATGCTTATGGTCTGTTTAAGATTCATAAGGAAGGTATGCCACTGAGGAGTATAAGGAACAAAGATCCTGTCATGCATAAAACGTAGCGGTTTGTTTGTACACTAAGCGAATGTGAAAGTTGCAACTTTTCACAAACATTCGATATAACTTGATGAATTGCTCGTCTATTCAAACCAATATACCGACAGACGGGAGAGTAAAGGCCTTAGATCAGCCTCCGGAAGGCACAACAGGTAAAAAGTTAAACAAGGCCTCAATCCTTTGATGGACCAATTTAGATATGCAAGCATAAGCATTTTCTGAAGGTATGCACGCCAGAATCGTGTAGCCTTTTCTATCGTCGCGGTCTCCATTCGTTGTATAAAAGTTATTTGACCTTGTTTTCGCAACTGGTCCCGAGTCCATAGTATGCATGATACTTTCCAGTCGGACCGTGGACTTGGTACATTCCCAGATGTTTCGTCAGTGAGTCTTGCCATGCTCAGCACCAAGTCATAACTCGTCAGACGAGGTTTGACTTCACTTGCCGACGAAACGAGTGGAAATGTACCAAGTCCACTCTCCTACTCTGGAAATGATCATGCATACTATAGACTCCGAACAGGATGCCAATGTGACCAAGTTGCGAAAACAAGGTCAACCAATTTCCATAAGCATCTTTAGGTTGAAGTCGGCTTTAGAGCCTACCAGCAGATCATATATAACACACGCATATCTAATATATGATCTACTGGCAGTCTCGAAAGCTTACGCATAAACGAAAAATAGCTAACGTGCTCGATTACTAGAGCAAAAACAATTTCGCTTTATCGACGATCCCACTACAGAATGTGAAATGAGAAAATGCATCTGACCTGTGCTCCAAAGGCATTCATGGCAATATGTCGAAATTATGCGTTGCATTGTCATGAATAGAGTCCCGCTGGGGGTGTTGATAAGATCTAGGCGAGGTCGCCTTATCAACTTAAACGAAATAGGATCTCAGCGACAAAGGGTATGTGAATGTGCCAAGTCCACGGTCAGACAACAGAAAACTTCGAAC